CACACACACACACACACACACACACACACACACACACACACACACACACACATCGCCTATCTAAACTTTTTGGTTATGGATGGCTTGTGATGATTTGTGAAGGGAATGAGAGAGAGAATCTGGGGTCTTTTAAAACAACACACACACACACACAAAAAAAAAACAAAAAAAAACACCGTTTTATTTAATTTCTTTTTTGTTGTTAAATCAACTTAAATGCCAACAAAAAGCGGCCAGTTGTATTGTGAGTAGGAGGGATAGATCATAGATGGATGCCGGTTTTTTTTTTTTTTTTTTTTTTTTTCCCTTCAATGCAGACTGTCAGGGTCCGGTTTTGTCCGGTGCCGGTAGATATTCGGATTACAGGACGTCGGGATTGAAGCGGACACAGGTCCGGTTTTGTGTCTGGATGCGCTGGGTGTCCGGTTCCGGGGTAGCCATGCTTTGAACCTTCACCACTTTTGCCTTGAGAGAAGTTGACGCCCTTAATAAGTTTCCAGTTTTCAATAGTGGGTTAGAATTTAGAAAGTTCTTCCCCTCCCCCCCCCCCCCCCCCCCCAACTAATAAACTTTATCAAGTGAATGTAAACTATTGTACATCGGCCTACAGCTCCACTGCTTCCATTTCCTTACTGAGATTTCAAGATTTTTTGCTTAGTCGTTTACTTTTCCCTGCAAAGGCTGCCTTGATGTATATATGTATTATGTATTATATCATTTATATGTATATTAGAAGACTTATTGTCCCACTGCCCTGTGGCTGAATGGCATGCATGTGACTGCAACAAACCGTTTGAGATCTCGAATTCAGACGTCAAATCCTGATGGATGTAACATTGTAAAGTTGCAAGCTTCTTACACAATTTAACGTATGCGATAGTAATGTTGAGGGCCCTTACCGAGAAAGGCAAAGGTCCAAGGGGAAGCGGATTGTGATGTCCACGTCAAGATGTGTGTGTCCTTCATATGCAAACGATGGATAAACAAAAAGAAGTTGAATTCTGAGGTTACGAAAACAATCTAAAAATGAGAACTCGGTAGTATTGAGTAGTATATCTCTGCTGGTACACCCATGAACTGTTGAAATACAGACCCGAGTTCGAATCCAGATGCCACCAGAGCACCGGAATAAAATCGTTCTGAATTACCTGGGGCTGGTCAGTGCAATGATGATATCTCAAGGCCGTCACCCTCTTCATTGGAAAAAAAAAGTAAAATAAGTAGTGATGTAGCAAAATACGATGCGCTGATGCGTTGTGCATGTGTGTTGTTCGCTGCAGCGTGCAGATTGGCGCATAAGGCCCCTCACGCAGGCAATGCTGAATTACGCAAGAACGGATGCCCATTATTTGACGTACATAGCCGGCAAGCTACGACTGGAACTCTTGCAGCGAGATCATCAGATCCCGAAACTCAACGATGGCCCGCATATCCCCTTCCTGCCGGTGTCGTCAAACCAAAGCGGAGGCGAAGACAACGACGAGCACATGTCAATTTATGAGCCCGACGACGGTGGTGAAATACTTAAGGGGTCCCCACCAAGGGTGGAGACCCCACCAGGCGGAAGGACAGACGACCGAGAAGAATGTCGAACAGAACTTGGGACTGACAACAGCACGGCAAACCAGTTGCCGGCCTCGGGGAGTGAAGCAGCGGCCAAGGGCGAAATTCAATTTATTCAGACACAGAAGTCTATTCCATCAACTGCTGAGAGCACGGCCGAGGAAGATGTGATGCTCAGGTTGACTCGTGCAGGGCATTCCAGAAAGAATGTGGATGACGAGGAGGACGACGGAACTCCCAATTCAGCGAAGGACAGGGTTAACGAGGACGTTGAACCAAGGTTCAGGAATAGTATGTTTGCGCCAGGAGCAGCTGGTCCCGTTTCCAGGGCGGACGACCGATCTCAGGCAAGCGGAACAAGTTTGTCTATTTCACGACAGGGGGTCGGAGGGTCTGACCAAAATGGGCAGTTTGGTTTAGCGTCGTCGACTGCACGGCCGTCTGGCGGACAGGCATCGAGCTCGGACTCGGGGCTTGGGAAGAGCACCCACTACGTGCTGGCCATCAGACGATCTCATCAGGTTTCCTTGCACTTGTATGACAAAGAACTATCTCATCCGGCTCCAGCTGCGGTGGCAGCTTCCCTGCTATCGAAATTCTACAGTGGTTATACACCTGCAGAAGAGCAACAATTGCAGGTCAGTAGTGTCAGAGTGTCAATTCAATTTTTATTTTATTTTATTTTTAGCTTTGGTTGCAAATTTCCAACTCTCGAGGCAGTTTTTTGAATGTTTTTCTTTAAAAAAATTGAACCATTTCTCGATTTATGCATGTCATCCTTGAATGCGCAGGGGCCATGCTCATCTTCTTTCTCTGTATTGTTCCAATTTTAACGGATGTCCCGAAGGACAACTCAAGGTAGTTTCTGTTCTGATCACTTTAATATCTGATCCCCAAAAAGATAAATATAAAAAATGTAATGACCCGCCAAAACACAGACTGAGAACACTGCTGATTTCTGGGATTTGCCGCTGGAATTAATGCCTTGCTGAGATTCCCGCATTCTGCTGTGACTTCTAAGTCTGTGTGTGTGTGTGTGTGCCTGCTGGTTTGCATGCCTGTCTGAGTGCTTGTCGGCTGAGTGTGTGTGTGACCCGCAAGGGTACTTGTTGGTTGAAAGGCCCCACAGGGCCGGTACTTACCTGTGGCCGTGACTTCGAGGGTTGCAGCGGGGAAGCACTCAAGTAGCGGGGGTAAGCCCGCGACATTTAGACCAGCGGGGAAAAACACTCAAGTAGCAGGTAGGCCGGTACCACTCAAGTAGTGGTAGAAGTGTCGGGTACTGGAGGCCGAGCAGAAGAAGACAGAAAGTTGGGATTTTTAGAGGCCCAGTAGCGGTAGGTTAGAGGTAGGCCGGTACCAATCCAAGTAGCCTGAGTTTAGGGCCTGTCTGGACGATAGCAGAGCCTGCAATGATGTTTCCCTCCGAAAGGGAGGGGGTACCGGTTGCTGGGAGGCCGTTCGGGCTAGTAAGTCGCCGCCCAAGGGGCCAGTAGGCCGCTCTATCTTCTGGAGGAGCAAGCAGCTCCTCCTCATTTGCAGTATGCAAGGATTGGAGAAATGCTGCTGGAGCCAAGCGCTGGACTTGTGCAGCGCTGCCTGGAGGAGAAGAGCTGCTGGGCGCTCAGCCTGGCTATGGTGAGCAGCCCAGCTTGAGGTGGAGGAAGAAGGGGGCGAAGGAGGAGAGTGGCAAGGTACCTACCTGGCTATGGTGGACACCATCTTCATCACCTTGTTGGGCGCTGCATCTGGAAGGCCCCAGTTGGGGTAATGCCACACCAAGGAAGCTCGAGGCAGAGTCAGGCATGGCGGCTTAGTCAGCAGCGGCATAGCTGCTTTGGGTTGTCCTTTGCACAAGAGTGCAGCAACATAGCTGCTTTGCGTTGTCCTTTGCACAGGAGGGCAGAGCCCTCAGTAGTCTCAGCAGCGGCATAGCTGCTTTGGGTT